AAGGAAGGAAGGAAGGAAGGAAGGAAGGAAGGAAGGAAGGAAGGAAGGAAGGAAGGAAGGAAAATGTGTGTGTGTGTTATGAATCTAAATTAAGAAAATGCCTCTAAAAAATCACATCAAGTCTGTAAATATTTTCGTAATTAGTGATTGGTAAGGGAGAGCCCAGCCCATTGTGGGTGGGGCCACCCCTAGGCCGGTGATACTGGGTTTTATAAAGGAGGCTGAGCAACCCAAGAGGAACAAATCAATAAAAAGCACCCCCTTCATGGCCTCTGCATTTGCTCCTGCCTCCAGGTTCCTGCCCTGTTTGAGTTCCTGCCCTGACCTTCTTCATGATGGACTATGGTGTGGAAGTGTAAGGCAAATAAACCCTTCCCTCCCCAACTTGCTTTTGATCATGGTGTTACATAGCAACAGGACCACTAACTAGGAAAGAGGTCCTGCATACTGACATTTTATTAGATCAAAGGGATCTAATCATCACCAACAGATGATTTGGGCAGCAGAAAACATTCCAAGCTGGAGAAAGAATATGCATGATGTCTCGAAGAACAAAAAGAAACAGGGTATCCTTTATAAAAGTAAGCAAAATTTAACATATCAAGCATATAACTTAGGGAGAGAGCGGGCAGGGATGAGGCTGGACTGGCAAGAGAGTGGCAGCACCCAAGGAGGAAGAATAGCGGGCAGGAGGACGGCACTGCTGCCATGCTTGGGCATCACGGGAAGTGGCGCAGCCTCAGAGATGAATGAAGAAAGTAAAAACTCGCGAGTGCTGCAAGTCATGGCGAAGGGATGGCTGCAGAAGGACAGCCACATCGAAAGGTGCAAAGCCATAGGAAGAACGAAGGGCAGAGGAAAGGGGCAAACGGAACATGGGGTAAGTAAGCACTGGGCAAGAGGTTTGTGTCCAAGAAAGGGAACTAAGCAAGCTGTACAAGCTGAGAGCAGAGACAGGATGTTCAGCTAGACGCCCTTGTCTTTGATAACAGTATGCATCTGAGCATGCTGACAGGAACCAATGACCTAGTGGAAAGCCAGCAAAGAAGGCACCAAGGTCCCTAGGAAGGCAGGAGGAGTGGGGTCCTGATCAGGACTATGCCTGGGGCTTAAACAGGAGGAAGGCGTTTTCTGCTGTTACCGGAAAGGGAAGCAGGAAGCACAGCTCCCAGTAATTCTGAGGACATGGTACGGAGGGCTGTATAAGAACTGCTGCTTCCTCCCCCAACTCGCATACTATAGGAAGCACTCTGAAGCAAACTAAACAAGGAGGCATGAATCCATTGTTCAGGTAATACTAAGTATTCAGGTTAGACAGCGGTTCAAATCTGGCACTGAAAGCCAACAAAGTAGGATTCCCATTATGGTCCAAGAACCAAA